CACTTATCTTCTTACAGCAGTGAGTGAAGCACCAGCCCCTCAGCAGACGTCCATGTTACCACAAACACAGCCTGAACATCCCAGCAATGAGGATGCTCCAAGCAGGACAATTCCCACAGCATGTGTCCGGCCTACACATCCTCTCCGTAGCTTCGCCAACCCCTTGCTACCTCCGCCAATGAGTGCAATAGAACCGAAAGTCCCTTACACACCGCTTTTATCTCAAACAGGTGAGTGTACTATAAAAATTACTTCCCAGAAGACATCTAACCTTTCTTTGTGCAGAATAATTTCTCTCTGATACCATTCATTTCTCTCTATCATGACCCTTCCAGTATCATCACCCATGAGTAATATTGTAAGTTATCATGTTATGTTTAGAACTGATGGGAAATATAGTTTGAAAACTGTTGCTATTTCACAGCTTGAGGGGTTGGTGGAAAATAGGCACATTTATTCCTAGGCTGGTCATATGATGAATCTAGCTATAGATTGTGCTCATATGTCTGAAAACATTGGACAGTTTTTCAGAATTTGCTGGTTCAGTATTCCATTCAACATCATTTGAGCAGACTTCCAAACAAGAAAATAGACTTCCCAACATCCTATTCTCCCTCATAACCCTCAAATCTACTTGGAGGATTGTGCACCTCACTAAAGCAAGGTTGTCAGAGTAGGAGGGAAGAAAAGGAATCTATTCTGTCAGAGGTATCTATCCTGCTGGTAGATGAGACTGAATACAACCTTCTGAAATCTAATTAGAAACAGCCAGTGAAAGCCTGAAAGATTCCTAGTGTTTTATGTAACAGAGAAAGTGCTTGCACAGGGAACATGATATAACATAGTGACTATAGTAGTTATGAGAATGTGCTATGAATCAGCCAAGCTTTGGTTCAAATTTCAGTTCTACTATGAACCTATAAGGTGTCTTCAGGCACATCAGCTGCTCTTCCATATCTGTATTCTGCAAGATAATATTAAGTGAACAGCTGTTGCTTAGTGGTAGAACACATGCTTTGTGCAAAGAGGCCAAAGTCCTGTTTAACATTGGCAGAGCACAGAGTTAGAAATAGCAATAGCAAGTATATTTCTATACCACTTATCAGTGCACTTAAGCACTCCCTAAGCAGTTTACAAAGTGTAAGCTAAGCTCTGCTTGCATACTTACACAGATAGGATGACAGCACCCCTGGCAGGTGGTAACATGACTGGTAGCTTCCCAGCCATTCCAGAATCCATTCCAGAACTGTTGTGGTAGCCAATCTAGACATAGGAAAGCTGCCTACATGCCTTTGCAAATGGAAAAACAGCTTTCCAATGAGGGTATTGTGTATCTCCTTAAGCAGGTATCTAAATAGTACAGCCATTGGTGTAACCAGGAGATATAGTAGGGTAATACCCCAAGAAGATCCCAGCCAAATGCCATCTTTAAGCATGGCAGGGAAAGGCTTCAATTGAAACCACTGAGAACTACTGCAACCAGCCCCTGAAATCCAATCCAATGCAATCCAATCCAAAGTTTTATTGCTTATACCCTACTGCAAACATGCATAGCAAAATACAATACAGAGAAGTAACTATTAACATGGGTAAATACATGATATGATCCATTAAACAATAAATGTAACAATTGGTCCACTCTCCAGGAACTGGCAAGTTGGCTGCATGCACAGATGCATAATTCTACACGGAGGTACTTGATACATCCTTGCACAGTGTTGTTAAAATGATATAAAGAGCATTTATAACTGTCTAT